TATATATATATATAGATATATAGCGCAAAAAATAGATTTGATATTTACAGAAACACGATAAGAAATTCAATTATTGACTCAATGCAGTTCATTCATATTTAAATAGTACGCATACGCGGTCACATATACGAATAAGCTACGCGTAAATGATAATGTGATGATAATAACGAGAAGGTTGCGCAGCACTGACGAAACGGACGTGCGACATCATTGGCGTAGAACGCTATAAAATATATTATAACTAGAAATATATCAATTTAAGTGCGTTCAGAAGAGAAAACTGATAAGTAAATGATTTTTTAATATATTTTTACACTTAGATCTAGTAAAGAATTAAAAGCAAGAACTAATCACATTAAATTAAAAATTACTGATTACTCATTTATCAGTTACTGAATACAGCCATTATCACAAATTGCACATTGATTATATATAACAAACCTAATAATACAACTCAAAATACAAAATAAATTTCTCCAAAAAATAAATTTAAATATTTTAAACCATTAAAATGTTGTAATATTAATTTTAAAATATGTAATTTTGATATAATAATTGATTATGTGATATTGGGTGTGGTCGAATTGTCACTACGAATGCTTCGAAGCATTTGATTAACCAATCGGAAGAAAGAATTTTACTAACTGATCAATCAAAAAATACTTTGAAACATTTATAAGGACAATTCGACTGCACCCATTATATGTAAAAATAAAAGTATGTTTTTTAAAAATATATTTTTTAAATTTTTTCTTTCTTTATGTTTCCGTTCTTTTTTTGTAAGTAACTAAATGACAACTTTATAGTTATTGCAGTAAATGAATCTTTAAAAAAAAAAAAGAAAAGCAATGCAATGGTAATATTGGATTGATCTTTTAATTGTTGTGAATGCGGAATATACCTTTGGATTGATCAATTCTTTTTTCATTCTTTTGATATGCGTCTTTTAGTAGGAATGACAACATGAGAAGGAACCTTCCTCAAGCAAAAAGAATTTCCCAGAAGTGTGCCGCGCATGCAATATCTTCCACATGGAGCTTTCAATACTTGCTGCAGCACTTGAGCGTTTTGACTCGCGTCGCGCCAATGCTGAGGATGATGCGTGATTCTCGACGAGAAGACTCGCTCGGACACGGGAGACGCTTTAGTACTCCGCCAACCTTCCAATACTGTGCGCGCGCGTATCCTGATCGCACTTTTTCTCGGGGAAATATGATCCTTCGTACGCGGCGGTACGCGCCGCGATTTGCGAATGGAGTGAAGATCGCTGCGAGACGCTGCACGTCGAGAGTATCGAAACGCACCACACTTCATGCGACTCGGGCCAACGTGATCACCGCGCGAACGGTTCTTGCGACCGACGAATCGGCACATTGATTAAATGCCTTCGATCAACGCAGAGTTACAAGGGTGCAAAGAACACTCGTGAGTGAATGTTTACGGCGAAGTGAAACATATATCGTTGCACTATTTGCAGCGTAATATTCTAAAATGCAGAAATATGAAACGAGTCTTCGCGACGGAAATCTGACTGTCGCAAATTAATCGTTTTCTGCAAATTTACAGTAATGCAATACCGATCTATAAACTACAGAATGTAAGTTGTGTTGTGTTTGTAAAGAAATCCAATTTGCAACAATTAGAAGAATGTACGATAAAATATTATTATTCTTCGGAAAGAAAGCAAGACCTAGCAAGATCTTATTTTTTTATAATTGACACTTTTAATGACGAGAAATTAAGTCAAATTTTAAAATGGTTTTTGAGTTTTTATCATATATGTAACATTGTAGCAAATTTCCAAAATCTAATATCTATTTCAGATAATAATATCCCGATAAAAAATTTATCATGCATAAATATGTATAAATATGTATAAACATACATAAACATGTATAAATATTCATAAACATACATAATTTTATATGAAATATGTCCATATTATACATGTTTATTTACCCCTCTTTCTTTTGTAAAATGACTTTTTAATGTAATAGAAATAATAATAGTAATGTGAAAACATTAAAAATAATTAAAAGAGTCATTTTCACACTACGTTTTAGAAAAAATCAAGTTTGAAGAAATTTAAAAAAATTACTTATACACAATTATGCATAATTATATATGTAATTTATACATACGTAATTTTTTTTACATTTCTTCGAACTTGATTTTTCCTAAAACAAATAGGGTGAAAATTACCCTTTTAATTATTTTTAATATTTTCACATTACTATTATTATTTCTATTATACTAAAAAATAATTTTACAAAAGAAAGAGGGATGTATGAACACGTATGGACATATTTCATACATGATTATACATGTTTATAAATATTTATGTATGTTTGTATATATTTGTACATATTCATGCATGGAAAAATTTTTTACCGGGGAGTTTAATCCTAAATAGAGCACCCACATATATCTAAAGTCGAGATAAACGACATCTTTAAGACTAATATTAATCCGTTTTTGTCATACGACAAATTTTTCAAACCTGTCGATTTGGCTATAGGATAGAAACATTCGAGAATCTCTCTGTCCTACAATTAATTAACATGATTAAAAAATTTGTCGTACGCGACAAAAAACGGATAAACGTGCGTGCTATCTGGGTTATATATTATCTACAGACTTACAGTCTGTAGTATTATCTATAATATACGTATGAGATAAGCTTATCGGTATTAACATGAGTGTATTCTCCTGACTTTATAACGTTTAAGCACAAAGATTGTTGTAATTATTTCGGATAGAATCATAAATAAACTCTCGCAAAGATTAATCGAGATCAATTATCAAATATCAAATAAGGATGGAATTTTATTTATGCGTTTTTTTTTTTGCAAATATGTACAGAACAGAGAGGGAGAATCTTCGGATCTTTCTATCCTACAGCCAATCAACAGGCTTGAAAAATTTGTTATACGATAAAAACACGCAAATAAAATCCCATCTTAAGGAAATAGACTTATTGAAATTATCGCTATAAATCATGCGCAACTATTTCGTATAAAAAGCTTTATTGTAACTGACAATACATTAGAGATATCATAGAGATATAATACAAATGACATACGTTTCGGCTAATCTTTTATAGTCATTGTCAGCAAATGCTTCTATATAAAAGAATACTTATTAAGGCATGCTTATGGCCATGGTCCTTACAAGGCAGTTAACTAATCCTTTTTTAGAATGTAATTTCAAAATTAGTTGAAAGGCTGAATATTACATATAAAGTGATCAAATGATCTCACAGATATGCAACGGATAAATATATTGGTATAAGATACAATATTTAAGGCCATATTATGTACGATAATATGCAATATATAAAATATAAAACTGAAATTCAAAAATTAAAAAAATATTTAT